TCTCGAGTAGCTTACTCACAAGCATCTTCCAAAGGCTGGTGAAGTTTCCCTTTGGAGGCAGGCAGTTCCTTGCTCATGAGTTATAGGGGAGAGAGCCCATTTCAGATGGTCATGTTCCTCTGAGTCCCCCGCATGGCTGCTGCTCCTACCTCCTGGGCAGTCCTAACTTATATAGCCCCTGTGACCTCATTCACCTGGTCCAGTGGAGGCCAGCTCCGGTTGGCTGTCGGCCAACCAATTTGAAATACATCACTCGTTGCTGGGCAGATTCCAGCCCACCAGGTAGATGCCCCTCACCCAGATAGCCGATACCAGTCATGTAGGCAGAGGGAGCAGGTTTCCCCCCTCCCTCAGGAATGTAGCCAGCTCAGGTTACCTAAAAAGATAGTCTGAGGTGTGTCTCCTCTGCTGGGCCCATCCTAATCAAATGGTCACAGCTCAGAGATTTTAATCACATTGTCACAGGGCAGAGACTTTGGGGAGAAACCAAGGTGGCTTTCTGCCACACCTCACATCCTCAAATCCCAAATCTGGTTCTAAAGCAAAAAATGACAAGTTACTTTTGCTCCATGTGGATCCAGTAATTAGGTTTTATCACTGATGAATAAGCTGTTACATCTTCCATCTGAGTATCTCAGTGCCTTGCAAATGCTGATTGTATGCTTGTAAATATTCTATTCACTGTATAGATGAACAAACTGAAGTGCAAAAGATTAAGTTCCTATTTTCCTTGCAACCATCATACATTGTTCTACTTGCATTGTAGAGACACTTTATTTTGCCAGAGCTGTGCAAAGTATCCTTAGCCTGAATGAGGATCATGCCCATAGATGAAATGACTTGCCTCATGTCCCATAAGAGGGTGCCCTAACTTTCAGCACCTTTCTCTAAGCAGTAGACAACTCCTTCCCTTACTTCTATACATAAATTTACTAGAGTGGCTCATTACCAGGGATCTGGATTTTTTGTTTCCCATGGGAAAAACATGGATTTTCCCCTTTAAAGGAGAAAAATGTGATTATTTTTATTTTATTTTATTTTTTGCAAAAACTCCCCCCCCCTCCCCCCCGTTTTCCCCCAACAGTACAACTTTAGTATA